CTTCCATTTGCACGTTTCAAAACATCACCGGCACACTTTTCACTTCATCTTTTCTCTTTTTCTCTCCAACCACTGGCGCCAGCTAGACGGCAGTTCTTGAAAAGTTCACTTTTCGTGAAATACTACTCGCTACAATAGCCGTGACAATCAAATTACTTTTTTCTTCGCTTCAAAGTCTATCATGAGACAGGCGGAAAACCGCAAGGGTCGAATTATTGGCTACAAATCAACGCAAAAATGGCAAAGTGCCAATGAACTTCCGATTTTGGGAACAGATAATCTGCGCGAAAAGTGTCCAAGAAATCAAAAGTTTCTTCAAAGGTTAGGAAGTGAATTTGCAAAGTGAAATTGACCTTGTATGGTCGGTCGGTCATTCTGCACCAAATTGAACTTTGCGCGCAAACGGACCAGTTTGCGTCACTTTTTGCTTTTCTTAACGGGAACAAGGCTACATGGGAATAATTTTACCACTTAGCATCCATGCATGAATGAATTATGATTTTTCAGAACATCTATTATTACGAATGTGTCCCAGACGGTCCCTATGTGAAAGCGAAACCTAAGGGATGCATTTCGCACAACAAGCAGAAGAAAATTCCAATTGGTCAACAGGATGATTTTGGAGATTATACGTAAGTTTTTTTTTTCAAATTCAAATTGGCAAAGATCCAGTAAAATAGAAAATTTATACGAAGTCAAGTTTAAAATCTGATTCTGCGAAGCTAAATTGCTGTATTCCACAGTGTATCCTTATTATTGTGCGCGCAGCTAACTAATCGATAATGCAATTGTGAAGTAGTCCGCAATTACACCAATGAGAAGATAATACGTAATTTGACCTGTTTTTTGATAACAAAATAGGATTGCACTTTGCCACCATTCATGTCCATGCCAAGACGTCATAATTCCGCTCCTTTCGACAACTTTTCTTCCCCCCCCCCCTTAAACAAGTTCTGTTTGTTATAATTACAGCCTTTTGCAGCCTCTTATAGTGCATATCAAAAGTGCTGA